ACCACTCGTGGGCGGCCACAGCTGGGGCTGCTGTCTTTCCTTGCCAGCATCCCACAGCCTGAATTCCTATGAGGCAGGCAGGGCAGCCAAACTACAAACATTTTTTAAAAAAATTCCTCCCAAATTAAAGGACATGTGGGAGCCAACCAGCACACAGGAATTAAAAACGTCTTTTCTGCTTTCTGTTAGGGACGTGGGTGGCAAACGAGCCAAAAGGAATAAAAATAGAAGCCTGGCAGGCTGGCCCTTCCTCTTCGGGAAAAACCAGTATTTATTTGATTAATTCTGTTCCTAAACAGCAGCCCACATTGCTGACCCGGAGGGCGCGCCCTGACGGGTGTGTGAACCTGTGCACATACTTGCACGCCCCGAGTACATGTACACGTCTGTAGGGATGGATAAACACACAGACCTGCCACCCACGGAGAATATTTACTCAGGCGATACACGAGTCACACTGCTCTTCTTTCCCCAGATCCTGCAAGCATTAAAAATAAGCCGCTCTGTGTAAACATACTCAGTTTCTTGATTTACATTGGTTCCTGTAAAGGCAGATTTACACATTTTTGAAGCTCTCTCATCTAACCTCGCCACGCACCATGAAAACCAGAGCCTGAATCAGAGCGTTTCACCGTCACTGCATTTCTCAAGGTCTCCTCCCCGAAGCCCCACAGTCCCCCCGCCCGTGCTTTGTAACATCCTGACTTACGCTGCAGACCTATCTGTGCGTCCTCCCAATGCCAGCCTTCTCACTGGGGCTCTGTTAGCTCCTGCCCATGGCAGTGCGTGAGTCCACCTGACTTCTGCTCAAAGGGATGTGCCTGTATCACAGCGGGCGCAGACCCAGCCCTAGGGTGGCAGCTGCTCCTCCCTCCTCCTTCCTCGCTCTGCTCTGCCGGCCCATCTCCCCTGCCTCCCTCCTTCCCACAGCCCACACTTGTCAGCACAGCTGGATTGGTTTCTGGCAGATGCTCCTCATGCCCTTGTGCAGGGGTGAGCGTGGGTGACTGAACGCACCATTTCCCTTAGCAAGATGTAACCGATTTGAACATGGCCGGGCCCCCCGTCGGGTTGCCCAGCTCTTGGAAGACTAGATGTGGGAGGACAGGGTACGGAATTCTGCCGTTTGCCCAGGTCACCTGGCCGGTGAAGCGGAGTTCCACTCTAGGTCAGGCGGCAGGCACACACTTTTATTTATTCTGAAAGAAGCTTAATGGGTCCAACTCTTAATGACATTCAAGAAATCCTGAAGCAGCCTGATTCGTTATTTGGGTAAGCCATGAACTTTCAGGGCACGGGGCCCTGGAGGAAGAATTTACCTCCCTCGGGAAGACAAAGAATTCCATAGAAACCGGTCAGCCCGGCTGAACTCACCGCAGCACTGAGCTGGCCATCGCTCAATAAGGCCTCTATTGTGTATCTGACGAAAATACACGGAGATTTTTCTTCCTCGGCGAGCCTGTAATTTAGGAAGTTTGTAGTTTCTTAGCAGCCTCATGCCTTTGATGGGAACAAAGGATTATGTTGATGGAGTGTGCAGACATGAAGCAAACTGAAGTTGCATTTTAGTAAAATAAGTTCTACTGCTAGGAGTTTGGCTGCCACCAATTGAAACCTGTTCCCAGGCCTCCCTGGAGAGAAACTGAGCCTCCCCAGAGCTGTAGGGGCGATGACCATTTTGTGTCCCACTCTGTCACTGACCGCACCTCCCCGATGGTCCTTCTCCTTCTTCGATGGAGGAACTGGAACGTGCAGAGCTGAGTGACTTACCCAAGCTTACACGGTTACTACTTGGCGGAGAGAGAATGTGAGCCAAGATCTGTCATTCAGATCTTGTCAACGGGCCTTGGAATCTGTATTTCCTTTTGCGTCAGGGACCTCAAAATTGCAGCCCACAGACCCATGTTCAGTCCACACATGTTCCGTATGGCTCATAAGTTGCGAATGACCTTTACATTTTTAAATTGTTGAAAAAAAAATCAAAGGAAGAGTCATATATCATTACACATGAATGCTAGATGACATTCAAATTTCAAGTTCATTTAAATAAAGTCATACCACAGACACACCCATTTGTTGGTCTTGTGTACGGCTGCTTCCCCAGTTCAATGGCGGAATTGAGCAGTTGACTGAGACCATGAATGGCCCACAAGCCAAAGCATTTAGCATGTGAATCTTTACAGAAAACGTGTGTTAAGCCCGCTCTGCAGCCTGCAGACACCATGACGGGTGTGACTCTGTAGGCCTAGAGGCCCGTGGTTATAAATGGGTGCTCATGCTGCCTTTCCAAAATCGCCCTGACCATAAACAGGCCAACATTTCTCCTATCTTTGGAGAGCAGTGATGCTGCACCAGGAAGAAAACACGTGTAAAACAAGAACGGAGGAAACTGCCTGCGTCCCTTCAAACTACACTGATGGCTTTCAGAATGCAGAGGAGGCAAGCCCTTCTTTCTTATACTCAGAGCCCCAATTAAAGAGCCATAAAAACAATATGAGTTTTACATAAAGGGGATGTTTCATAGGACTAAAGCAATGTTTACCTGCTAGGGCTCCTTCCTCACTCTTTATTGATATTTTGTTTTGAAGCTGCAATTTTGGACTTTTTAGTGATAGAACTAGAGGTCGTTATGTGCTGTGTTGCAACCATGTGTTTTGTAGAGGGAATTTGTCCAGCGTATTGACAGTGGGTAGCAGCCCTGCTTCAGTCGAAGAGGAGTAAGAGCAGGTTTGCTTTTCGTTTATGTACTTTTTGTTGCCCGTTTCCAACTGCACATCCTAAAGACTTGACTCGCATAGGAAAACAAAAATTAAAAATAACAATCGTGCTTAGTGATGAAGAGTTCTGGAGATGGATGGTGGTAATAGTTGCACAACCATGTGAGTTTGCTTAATGCCACTGCACTGTACACTGACAGACAGGATGGTAAATTTTATGTTATATGTGTTTTACCACAATTTAAAGTAAAATTTAAGAAAACGACAACAATAAAGGCCCCATAAATATCAATTTTGGAAAAAACAATCTCAAAAGCTTCAAGGAAGATTTTTACATGTAATTCCATTAACAAAATAAAAAACTGATACTCTCAGAGAACGGATTCTGAGAGATTTGAAGCTTCATCAGGAATAAATGAGCATCAATGTGTGTGCTTGTACACATGTGTGTGCATGTGCTTATGCATGTGTTTTCCAGAAGATATTCATGTCCACTTAATTACTTCCCTCTGTTAACACTATCAATATTGGAAATAAAATGCTTACATGAATTCCTCCATTTAGAATAATCTCTTTTAATGCAAAATATCAAGCACCCTTGCACCGGCAACAGAAACCAAGATAAAAAGTGACTATGTCTGAGAACCTCTTGTAACTAACATCTTACACCCGCGACAGCAAAGACAGAGCCCACATCCAGTGAGCGCCTATCAGGTTTTTCTGTAGCACACGTTCAAAGGCTGTTGTCAACACCAGGGCAAGAGAAAGCTCTGAAAAAAGAGGAAACCACAATCGAAACCTTGTATTATAAATGGAATGTGGAGATGAGAGGGCCTGCCAGTCTTAATGAAAACCCTTCCTCTTCAATCATTAGCTCGTAAAACTGAAACCAGCATGTGCTGGATGTGGGCAAACATCTTATTTGACTCCTGTCCGCTTTGCCAATGTTTTTCGAAGGTGAAGAAGATGCAGTCCCGCGAGTGGAGGCTGGGAGAACGCCGGCACCATGTGCCAGTGCCCCAGAGCAGGGGTGGGGTGTGGCGGGTTTCTGAAGGCTCCACTGTTCGGGGTGAGCAATACAATAACAACAGCTGCTTACGGTCCAGGCCGGGCAGCGACAGGGTCAGCAATCTCAATGCCAACTGGCGATGACACTGGCCGTGTCACGTGAAAGCAGTGACAAAGGGACAGACGTGCTCTGTGTCTCCTGGTGCCTGCAGCAGCCCCGCCACAGCAGACCAGCAACGGTGAGGGGCACAGGGCAGCATGGTGTGGGGCCCACCTAGACTCCATCACATGGCCCCTGTCTTGTCTGCTTCGTACAAACCCTGTACACCCCCCAACACACACACATGCTTCACGGATGTTCTGGGCTTTCAAGAGGAGGAAAAACTCTACAAAATAACACTTGAAGCTCAGACACTGTGGATGTGCTGCCAGGTTGTAATGGGCCAGACCCTCTGCTGCCCACCTCAGGCTCCATGTAAGGCAGGAGTGCAAAACGATGGCCCTGAGGCAAAGTGCAAACCTAGAAAGAGTTTGTTAGGCCATTGATTTAAAAATAAAATAAAATAGCCCTGGCCCGGTGGCTCAGTTGGAGCATTGTCCTGTACACCAAAAGGCAGCGGGTTTGATACCTGGTCAGGGCACGTACCTAGGTTTCGGGTTTGATCCTCAGTTGGGGCACATAGGAGAGGCAACAGATCTTTCCCTCTCTCCTTCTCTCCCTTCCTCTCTCTCTAAAATAAATAAAAATAAATAAAAATCAAAATAAAACAAAAATTATCGGCTCTCATCAGTTGCCATCATTTATAATTCTGGGGAGTTCACCTAGAATGTTAGACCTCCAGTTTCCTTTGCTTTGGAAACTCGGGTCTCTACTCCTTCAATGAGCTGGGGTTGCAATGGTGGCTGCCCCCAGCTTCCTCTTTCCCACCACCTCCTTGCTAACACGTTCCTGCTAGATTGCCGGCCTCATAGGCTTTGAGTTTGGGTCTTCTGATCTCCAGATACTCAACTTTCTGAGGCAAGGGTCATCCTTTCAGTTGCCCAGCATTTAGCATGAGCTCCTACTCACTGCCAACTCATTTGAGTTCCTCAGAAATGCACATTGCATGGGCTCAGATAGCGGATGGACTTGGCACGGCCTCACACCCAGATGCTGTTGAGGGAGGGGCGGGACCTTGGGGATCATCTGGCTGCTGGAGATCATCAGGACCCATCTGACTGATCCACCTCAAATGGACTTCCCCGGCAGAAGCCAGTCAGACTGGGCTTGGGAGTCAGACTGCATGCATTGCCTCCTGCCTCCGCAGAGCCAAGGGAGTGACATTGCACAAGTCCTCCTGCCCGATGCACCTCCTCGCTAAAGCAGTCACCTCACAGAACTGTGTGCGCATGAAATGAGGTAATACTTAAACAAATTTCCTATAGCATCTACAGTCCACGGTCCAGAGACGATCCACAGCTTTACTCAAAAATGTCCCTATTATGTCCTCAGAAGCTGGACATATGAAATTTAAAAAGTACATCGTTATTACAGACCATGTAAAGTTCTTCTGTGCTGAAATAGTTTAATAAGACATACATTTCTACCATAAACCTCTGTTCTAAATAATATACTATAGAAATACAGGAAGAGAGGGGACAGTGACAGCTAAGTCACTCTGGATCCACAACATGGCCGAATGAACAGATATCTAAACCTTCCCTAATCTGTGGATTTACAACTTACTTTAGGGGCAGAAACCATTTCTTTAGCATAATCCTGCCTGGAAGCCACTGAGGAGAGAAATGGGACAGCTTTGGTTGAAGTGGAGGTGAGGTCCCCAAACTGGGCTCAGGCCTCACGCAGAACAGTCACAGCAGCTGTTGCTAGGGACTGACCACAAGTCTTGGCAATAGCCTGTCATTTTATTAGTACCGGCTGGAGAATTAAGACCGTTCCTATCTCTGTATTGATAGGAAGGCTCATGCTAAGACCAAGATGGGCCAGTGACTGTATCCCCAGCAGGGAGCCAAGTACCTGCAGCCCTGGGCCCCAGCAGCACTCAGGTAGGTGTGATGGGGGCTCTAACCCAGGTGAGGCCTCAGCTGGAAGAGGTGAGCTGTGTGTGTGGGGAGGGAGGGGAGGAAGGAGGGGAAGGAGAGGGGAGGTGGGGGGGAGGGGGCAGGCACTTGGAGGATGGTGATACTCTGCCAGCAGGGGGTGACAAAGACCATTATGGTTTAGACAAGGTACTAAGTGTAGGGTTGATTCTGAGGGTAGGCTAAACTGGGGGAAGTAAGCCTGGGCTTAAGCAAACAAAAGTAGTTGGGCTAGATGCCATATCAAAAATCCAAGATGGAAGAGCTACTCTTAGAGCCAGGCATCTTGTTGAACTCAGTTCTTAGAAATTTGGGAGTAGTTGATATGAGTTTCAGAGTGTGATGCCTGAATCACCTGCATCAAAAACACCTGGGAGCTTATTAAAAATGCAAATTCAGTCCTGGCCGGTGTTTCTCAGTGGTGAGATGTATCAGCTGGCTCACTGAAGGGTCTCAAGTTCCATTCCTGGTCAAGGGCACATCCCTGGGTTGCAGGTTTGACCCCCCAGCTATGGTTGGGGCATGTTTGGGAGGCAACCAATTGATGTGTCTCTCTCACATTGATGTTTCTCTCTCTGTCTCTCCCCTTCCCTCCTTCCCTTCTACTCTCTTTGACAAGCAATGGAAAAACATCCTCAGGTAAGAATTAACAACAACAACAAAAATCCAGATTCATGAGCCCCATTCTAGATCTGCTGACTCAGAATTTCCAGTAAGAGAGCCCATGCATTTACATCCTTCACAAGCTCCCCAGGTACTCTGTGCAGGAAGAAGTCTGAGGAGCACCACACTCAGTCTCGTTGGGGTTCCTCCCGGTGTCACACTTGAGCTTTGGTTGGAGATTCTGATTGAATAGGTCTGAACACGTCTGGCAGGCAGGCAGTATCTGGGAGGAGGCCTGAGAACTGAGATAGTTCCTGAGCTCTCCCCAGGTGATGTGCAGTGGAATGACTTACAACCATTCATAACTGACTCCGGAGTTGAGGGAAAGCCACCTGTCCCTGTGGCATGAATTCCTTTGGTTGATAACCTGCTGAAAGTTGAAGATACTCTAATTGGACCTTAGAGTTCCTTGCCACTCCCCTCTTCAGTGTGTCTCATTAACCACCCAGGCAGCAGGAGGACAAAAGTTTTCCACAAAGACCTGTCAAGACATTCTTGGGAATACTGAGGTTGTTTGTAAAATAACTTGGATGCACTCACCAGGCATGCTTTAAAAATAAAGTTCATCGAGGTATATTTTCTCATCAAATGTACGGTTTGATGAGTTTCGACAGGTACATGTTTCCATGAAACCACTACAGTTAGGATAGGAAACATTTCTGTCATCTCTGAAAACTCCCTCTCGCCCCTTTGCAGCTAGTCTCCCACCCCCACCCTGGGCCCAGGCAACCACTGATATGCTTCCTGATGCTTTGAATTCACTTAGACTGCTCTAGAACTTGATATAAATGGGATCCAACAGTGTGTACTTTTTGGGTCTGGTTTCTTTGGCTCTGCACAATGTTTTTAAAATTTATTCCTAACATGAATTATTAGTGAATTATATTGCTCAGGGTACGACTTCGGCAGAAGGAGCAGGTTTCCGGGGTGAGCGAGGGCGGGTTCCTGTGAATTGAAAGGGAAGTGAGAAGGTGGAGAAGATTGGCCAGGTTGCCTTCTTCGGGAGCTTGGCTGGGAAGGGGAAGACGTGATCACTCTGAGTGCTGGGAGTTTTCCCTGAGGCAGGTGATTTCTGGAGCAATGAGCACTTTGGGGAGGGCTGACCTGAGCTGCAGGATGTAGGAAGTGACAGAAGAAAGGGAAGTGCAGAATGAAAGACAAACTGTACTAGGCAGACAGGCATGAGCAGTGAAGGAATGATGGGCCAAGTGCATATGGTCGCCAGGGCGAAGAACCCTGGGTGCCTAGCAACAGGCAAAACTACAAGCCCTTGCAGTACCACTCCCTTCAGCATTAACCCCTGAAGATGACATCTAGGCTTCAGCTGTGTTTCAGCTCCAGGCCCAGAGAAGCAGCAAAATCAGACAGAGGGACGCCATGGCTGACGTCAGGATGAGCTGTAGTGCCTAATGACCCCCTGACCTAGCACCGACCAGTCAAGAGGAGACCATGACCCTGAAAGGACACACCTGGAAAGCTGATGAAAATTCCACTGGGATCCTCCCCTGAGAACTCCAGATAAACACACCTAGGATGGAGGAGCCAGCTCCATCTCTGGAGCACACCCTAACCTTTCCTTCCTCTTTCATTTCTCTCTCTCTCTCTCTCTCTCTCTCTCTCTCTCTCTCTCTCTCCTATAACTTGTTTCCTGAGCCCATTTCCCCCCCCTATGGCTCTCTTCTTCTACTCCTGAGACTTCCTAAATAAACTCACTCTTATAATTCGAGTCTTGGCTCTGAATTCTTTCTTAGCCAGAGAGAGCTCCAGAACTGAGGTTGATGAACTGAGGTCTAAGACCTATTGCCATTTTTCTCTGTTAACAAAACATCACCAGTCAGGTTTTTGTTTGTCTGTTGTAGTTTAAAAATATGTCCAAAAATTATCTGATATTCCTCTCTTCAAGAGATAGAGCTTCATTCCCTGCCCCCTAAGTGTGGGGTGGACTTAGTGACTCGTGTCTAAGGAACAGAAAATGGAGGAGGTGACATCATTCCACGAAGATGCTGTCCCTTGTATCTTAGTTGCCTTCTTTGGGATCAGGGAACTCTGAGAGCAGAGCAGTCAGTGGAGACCTAACACGGTGGAGAATGAGGTCCTCTCTGGAGAGAGAGCGATTAAACTGAGATTTTCAAGACTTAGGAGGACGTGAAGGTGGAGAGACTGCACGTACTATGGCCTGGAGGTGAGAGGACATGGCCCATTAAAGAACTCCATGAAGTCTCTTTGGAGTAATCTACATTTCACTTTCACCCAGACCTACCTGTATGCATTTAATTTTTATTTAGTGGTGCAGTTGCACTCAGATTCACAATGTAATAGGAATCTGTGGGCACTAATCTCCTGGAACTAATAATGATTAATACAAAGTTCTAGTACAAAATCTGGCCAAACTGGCTTTGTTGGTAGCTTGTATATCTGATCTTTATGTCTGAAATTATTCCATGGGAAGAGGTGTTCTTAGGTGACAACACAAGTCCCTAGGTTAGGGACTGCCTCTAACCTCATCCTCATGCTTTGATTGTGGTGGGACAGGTGGGTGGTGGGAGAAGATATACTGCTGTATTTTAATAAGGAAAACCTTTTCACTTTTCACAGTCCCCAAGTTAATACTCATTTGACATCTTTTGGAGCCAAAGAACCTACTCTTATCTGGCCAGGAAATTTCAACTAATCAAGACCACACGTGGCAGCTAAGATCTGGCAGGCTTATTTATATATGGGCATCAAGCCATCCTAACTATTCATATTTTCATGTAAATGCTTGTGAAGATGAATTCATTCCTGCTGTGATTGACATTCTGCAGCAATTTCAACACTGCAGGCACAGCGAAGTGTGACTACGATCCAGAGCCCCAGAGACCGGCAGCCAGCCTGAGGTATTGAGCTCCCCCCTGCAGCGGGCATTCTGACGTGGGACCAAGGGAGGGACACTGAACATGTGGCTTTGAGTCTGTTCTTCGTCTGTAAGCTGGGAGAGAAGTGGCCTAGCAAAGAGAAGTTGATCGTCCCAGGAGCTTAAAGAACTACACGGCAATGCTTCATTGAGACATCACGGGGACAACTTTGAACACATCTGGCAGGCAGGCATGGTGGGAGAAGGTGCTAACAGTGCATTTAGGCGGTAACTCTGGCAGACAGAGCCTCTAATTCAGGGTGTCCGAGAGATAGTCTCATGTTCACTGTCTACCCCATACTATAGCCACTAGACACAGGGGCTGGCTTTTGGGTACTTGACATGTGGCTAGTGAGATTAAGAAACTAATTTTTCTTTAATTCTAATTAATTTACAATTAAGTAGTCACGATGGGCTAGTGGCTCCTATACTGGACAGTGCAGCTCTAGGTAATGGGCCAGAGGATATGATTCTTTAACTGAGCTTCTTACAGAATGGAGGTGTAACTTATTTGACCATCATTCCGGCACTCAGCACAACAGCTGACATACAGTGGGCTTTCAATAAATGCTTAACAGACCTTCAGCAGCCAGAAGAGGACTGACTTATAACCCAGAAGGTAGGTTGTGAAGGCTGTGTAGCTCATATTTCCCAAAGGGTGTTTGAAGCCTTACACCCACACAATGCTCGGGAGAGAAAGGTCGCCCTGAGCAAACACAGGGACAAGTTCCAGCCTTGCTTGGAGGGTTAGGGTGCCCACTAGGGCACTGAAGAAACCGGAATACCTTTATTAACTATTTCCCATAGTTATTTGCCATGGAAACTCTTTTTCACGTAATCCTTTTGACATCCCTTAGAGCTAGTAGATTCTGGGGAAAATACTTTGGGAGATGCTGCAGTAAAGACGGATTCGGCGGAAACTTACAATGGATTCCTTGAAAGTAGGGACCTGATTTTCAGCACATGGCCAGCGTGTAACATATGTGACTGAATGATTTAGAAATGACTGCCAGGAAAAACCGGAGGCAGTCTGTAAACCACCCCCACTCAGCAAAGGTAAAGAGAGAACAGTGTATGCTTGGTAAGCCTGCCATTTTTGGTGGGCATTCCTGCAGAACCAGGACATAATCTGACACGTAAGAATTAGATGGAGGTACGCAATAGCAAATTGGAACAGAAATAGTAAGAGTCATGAAAACATATGAATCGTTTTATAAGGCTCTGTATTTTAAAATGTAAGCAGTTAAACACTGAAAATTCACCCTAGCTGGTTTGGCTCAGTGGATAGAGCATTGGCCTGTAAACTGAAGGGTCCCAGGTTTGATTCGGGTCCAGGGCACGTACCTTGGTTGCAGGCTCAATCCCCAACCTTGGGAGGCAACCAATTGATGTTTCTTTCTTCTCTCTCTCTCTCTCTCTCTCTCTCTCTAATAAAACAGGAATATGATTGAGACCAGGGCAGAGACATACTACAGAGTCACTTCTGGTCCTCATTTTTGCTAATATCTTAGTAATAAGGGGTTGGAATGAACTGTAGACCCACACTATAGTTTCAGCTAAAACTTAGTTGTAGTTATTGCACACACACTTATACTTAAGTGTAATAAACTGTATACAGACTATTCCATGGTATGAATTAATTTCTTTTCAACAAATCCCTTTGTTCTCTTTTAAAACTTGAAGTTAGAAAAAACCAAAAATCTCTTCAGACCCAGTGAAGTAGAGAAATCTGGATGGGAAAAACGCCAATCCAAACCCTCGGTCAAGATCACTGTACTTTGGCAGTGAGGGGCCTGAGCAAGGCTGGTCCCCACAGGGCTGGACACGTCACGCACAGGTGATCTGCAGGCTCCATCACAGGCTTTAGAATCACAAAGTTCTGCCTGCTTAAAATAGGGGCTCTCAAACTCCACTCTCTAGGAGGGAGCACCCCAGATTCAGGGAATCGTTTAGTCCAAGGTGACCACACACGTCCAGCTCCCGCAGTCACAGAGGAGTCTGTGAGACCACTGGCTGCTCCTCTGAGCATCTCTGTCACCTTGGCTCCCTGAGGGAGCAGGGGCGGGCCAGAGACGGGGAGAGCACTCAGACCCCAGGTCCTGGGCACACAGGCCGCTCGGCTTGCACATCTTCGGCCTTTGTTGTTAAGGCCTTTGAAAGCACACAGTTAGATTTTTCTGCTGATTACAGAAGTGGTCATGTTTGCAATAGAAAACCTGAAAAGCCCAAATAGGTCTATGTAAAAAACAAGTGTGCCCATCATTCCACCAAAAGAAAACCACTCTGACACTTTTTGCCATATTTCCTTTCTCATCTATGGTGATGCTCACAGACAGTACTAATAAATAGATATGAGTAGAGTGATTTTCCAATACAGTTTTGAATTCTGTGTTTATTACTTAATACTATGTGCTGACAATATCCCCATTATTGTCTTCAACTCTGATTAATCATACTTTTGGCCCTGAGATAAGCCAGAGACCACATCTCACTCTGACCCAATAAAAAAACCCCAAAATAAAAACAAAACCCAAACACCAAGCACCTACCATCCTACAAACCAGAAGCAAGAGCTGTCTGGACATCAGCAAAGGTTGAATAAACAGGACTGACAAAGGCATGCGGCTGATGTTGCCACATTCCCAATAACCCAGCACAATGCAGTTCATTGAAAGCAACCCCACATTTCTTTGCTATTTTTCAAATTGACACTTTACAGTATGTCTGCCAAGGCTCCTAAAACAGTTTCTGGCAGGCTTTCCCACCCACCCATCTCTGGGCATCTGGGTTGCCCTGAACAACTACCACCAGCAGATGCCACGCTGGACACACACACACACACACAAACACACACACACCATCTAAATGGACAAAGTCCCTTGAATGCAATCCCCAGTTACTCTGTGCCAGGGGCACCTCCTGCTGGCATAGTGAGCTTTAATTCATGAAGGCCTCTCTAAGGAAAGAGATGGCCACCTTGAATGAAAGAGGACAGGGCTGGTGAAACACCATGTCAAAGATCATAATCTCAGTGAGACAAGCTGGGGGGAGGCTCTAGATATGCTCTCTCATAGATGGGGAAACTGAGGCAGCAGGACTTTACACGCCTTGCTCAGGGTCAGACAACTCATGTGGTAACAAAATAGTGGAAAAGTCAAAGCTCTTTCTTTTCAACACCTGAGTCCCCGTCCAAGCCATTTGGCCGGAAGTCAAGGAACCCGCCTGACAAGACGCAGCCCAGAGGCCTTTGCACAGATGATGTTTCAAAAGAAAAGGCCCTTTCAAAAGCCCCACAATGGCTCTCCATTGCCGGCTATTTTGGGGAGCAGCTCTGGCTCATGTGAGAAGCTCTGCTTCTTTTCACAGCCCTGACCCGATCTTGCCATGACAGGCCAACCTTGGCTACTGCACTCACCCCAGCGTCTGCTGGGCCACCTCAAAGGGGAACACAGGGTGAGCATATGCTTGGACCTCGATGGGCTGTGCTGGGCCTTTATGAGACAAGGCTTTCCAAATCTGTGCTATTCAAACTTTCTTCCCTCTGGTCCACCATTTTTATAGCTGTGCTTTTGGTGCTAAAGCTGACGATCGTTTGGGGCATGAACCTCCATCTGACTACAAACGGGGGCGGAGGGGAGCTCTGTGTGACCAATGGCAGTGAGGAGAGTCTGGCGGGATGGAGAGCAACGTGGTTTGGATGTTGAGAAGTAACATCTGTTGGAAGTAAAGGTATCAAATGCGAGAAAAAGATGAAATAATGCATGTAAAGAGCATGCTAGGACATCTGGAACTCAAGAAATGAAGCTAGTGTTTATTTCTTGAAAGGCCTGTGTGCCGCGCACATGGTAGGAACAGGACTCAGCGACAGGGCGTCATGCGATGATGTGGGAGGAGTGAGAACGAACAGCGCTGGTTTTCTTTTCCCTGGGAAG